GATTATATTATTTACAATCCTTGGATCACACGGGTTGGTGTGCTTCTTCCATGTGGACTCCTCATTTAGATGGCTGCTTGTTTGAAAGCAAGCCTTTAAGACCCCAGGAGCTATTCCTTCTGGTAGTCAGGCACCATCTAGTTTCTGCACCACATTTTGCTATGGCACTTGTATCTTTAGTGATATTTTCATAAGGTGGAGCATCAAGAAAGGCCATATTATAACTGATCTTAGATTGGGGCTAGTTAAGTGTAAGCCCCAAATCCATTCATGCATCTATGGTTTAACTTAGATGTATGGTTTACCTTTTTGGTTCACCTTAGAGACATCACTGACCCATAGTCATCCAAGAAGGCATGGTAGAAGTGTCCCTGTGAGTCTCTGAGCCCGAAAATATTCATAGGAGTAGAAAGCCTCATCCTTCCCTTGTGGAGCTCGCTGGTGGTTTTGAATTGCTTACCTTGCAGCTAGCAGACTGGAAGCTTCTGTTTCATGCTGTATTCTCCATCTTGGTCGACACACGTATGAAGGCAGTATTTTCATCTCTGTAACCTCCCACCCCCTAATTCTGCCCTCTTTAATTCATACAACACCAAAATGGCTGATGTACATCCTGTAGCATTTCAAATCACTGTTCTTTTGAGTTTGGGAACAAAAAGAGCTGGAAGGGTCAAGATCAGGGCTGGAAAGTGTATGGGGTAAAGGTTTCCCAGTGAAATTCTCATGTGATAATCCTTGCTACTCTTGGAGGATGAGTAGGTGCATTTTTGATGAAAGATTTTTTCTCTCATAGCAACTTTCTTAGCCTTTTCTCCATCACAATTCTGTTGCATTCTGAAAAATAAAGAAATAGAATAATTTGGTTCATGGCTTAGAAGGTTAAATCCCAAACTGAGCAACACAGTCTAACATTATAATGAGAACGTTTCCCATATCATAGTAGCACCATTAAAGCTGAAGATTACAGCTTCTGAAAAACGCTCACAGATTTTAGACCAGTCTGGCATCTTGGATTTAATTGGTTTGAGTTGTTATGTTCAGCCTCACTTTATGTTTCTTGACTATTCTTAATGATTAGCTAGATCCAAGTTTCATAAACTATTTGCTGAGGTGCTCCAGATATTTTGGTGAGCTCACAGGGTCAGGATATTTTAAACATTTGAAGAAAACACTGTGATATCTGTTGGACACCGTGCAATGTACTGCTATTATGTTGTTTGACCCTTACTACAATGAATGTAATGGTTAGGTATTTCTTTTGATCTGGAGTGCATATGAAAAAATTACTGAGATATTGAGGGTGCTCTGAACAGAGGCATTTTGGGAACCTCTGAACATACTGAAAGTTTTTGGAGCTTTAAAAGCCTGCAGTAATTTAAGAAATTTTGTTTAGAAGTCAATTAGACCGATATGAGGGACTTCTAAAACTTGTGGAAAGATGGAATTAAAGGAGAATGAAAAATTTCCATAAACTTTTGAAGTCCTCTAAGATAGTGTTA